AACACACCAAACATGTGTGTGTCTGTGTGTGCTTATCTAGTATCTAGTCACTTTTTTCCAGACAGTCGGAGGCCCTAGATAATAGAAAGGTTTTGTAATCGTTGTCAATAAATGTGATAAAGCGAGTCCCGAGTCGTTTCCCTGTCACGTGATCACATGTTCCTGTGACGTCACAAGCCCAGATCGAAGACACAGATTTCCCTCATTGTTATCTTCACAGGAAAAAAACAAAAGAAAACGAAGATGCATTCTCTTCTCTTTGGGTTAACATTCATAAGTGATCAGATTTTCGGCTAAGGATAAATAAAAAAAAAAACAGTAATAATACCGATTGTGGATTTCCACGATCACGCATTTCTTTCATCTATCTTTTGGGCAGCAAGATTTATCACCTGAACATGACCCTGTGACCTCGAATGCCCTTACTTCCCTAGCCTTGATATTTCCACGACCTTACGCAAGATCACGTGACGAAGGCCACCTGCTTCTATCTTGCATGAGCTCTCCGTCTTGCCATAAAATTCACTGAAATGTCCTTTTTTCCTGACTTCTATCTGTTCCATTTGCCTCGCTGCTTTGCGCAAGGGAGGGTGGTTTTTGCAACGTCAGAATTCTACGTTTATAACTAAGGTTTGTGTGCTATGCAGGGAGTGAGCGATATGAGCTGCTTTATATAGATAGATAGATAGATAGATAGATAGGTAGACAGATAGGTAGGTAGGTAGATAGATAGATAGACAGATAGATAGATAGATAGGTAGATAGATAGATAGATAGATAGTTAGATAGATAATAGGGAAAATGATATGACGTTATCCACTAATCATAGTGTTGATGAAAAAATAGTGTAAGTCACCTTTGTTTACTTTCAATGGTATTTTAATATCCGATTCATGTTCATTTCGTCAAAATTCCCACTTCAAATATTACCCAAATTGAATACCTTTGACCCGAAGCTATGGGGAAAAAATGGTCTAGCATACTTAGGTTGATCACATAAAACAAGTTAAATTCACACTCAATTATTTATTCTGTTGAAAAAAGAGCTTAAAATACGATACATTATCTAAGATATTAAATATACAAATAATGACATTAAAGTGACTTCATGAAGCTGACGTGTCTTTCAGCGAAAATGTACTAAGTAAGCGAACGACACGCATGAAAATTCCATTCACAAAGTCACAATAACATTTCTCAAACATAGCACCATAAAACACACATACGAACACAAATTACCTTGGAATATATGAAAAGAGAATGACGACATATGAAAAGCACCTAAATGAAATAATAATAATAATAATGATAATAATAATAAAGATAATAATAATAGTAATGATGATAAAGGTAATGATAATAATAATATTAATGATAATAATAGTGATAATAATAATAGCAATAATAATAATAAGGGTAGAAGTAATAGTAACAATAATAATAATAATAATAATAATAATAATAATAATAATAATAATAGTAATAATAATAATAATAACAACAAGAAGAACAATTACGAAAATAATGATACCAAAGGTCACCATTCAATTTTCACTTCAGTCATGAAACATCTGTGAAGGACGTTTGGATATATCACAAAGGACTGTATTATTATTATCATTTCATATAACGTTGCAAATATATGTTGAGTCATCGTGACATCATAATATTTTTTCTCAAAAGCTAGCCAAGGTTACATTCCATTCCAACATTATAATATCGATAAATTGAAATTAAGTTACAGATAAAAAACACATCATGCTTGGAACTAGGAATTAAGGTGCATTATGTCATTCATTCTCCGTGCATCCAAAATATGGATATCTTGGTGTGTATTTACATTTTACTTGATACAAAGAAAGGTCAGGAGAGGTCAGATTATTGTCTTATTGACTGGTATTGACTCTGAATGGCGTGAGGTTATCAAATCTCTAAGTATTTTATTCTTATAAATGACTGGAATTCTATTATAGCCACACTTCAAACACAATCTCTAATCTTTAAAAAAAATTATACACCTGTGTCTTCTGTCATAAATCGAATTCTGTCATAAAAAATCTGTCTCTGATGCTAAACATTGGATTGCCATGATCCTGAAAATCAGTGCGTCCTAACCAATCACAGGCTTCTAAAAACATAATAGTTACTGACCTGCCGGCTAAATGACCACTTTACAGTAGCAACGAATGGCACTGTAAGCCCGTATATGCCATAGTGCCACCTGTGATACAACGATCACCACAGTGCCATTTACCTTCCCAGAAAGCTGTCTTACACTACAGCCATTTCTCCTATATAAAACCCCTTTAAAATGCGTATATACAAGTAATGGTAATAAGTAATCACACAACAGTGAAACAGATCGACTTCAGAACCGCTTCGGTGCAATGAAGGTCGAGTTGGGAGTTGGGGGGGGGTGGCACGTGCGTTTCTCTCCTGCCTGTCACTGCTACGCTATCGTCGGTCTCGTGCAACCTGGAAAGAAAAATAAATATATATA